CTCAGAGGCCTGTGCAGAGTGTTGTATGGATCATAATGTGATGAAATTTTAAAAACACTTCAGATCATGCGCTCGAGATTTATTACACACACACACACACACACACACCAAAAAAAAAAGTACAAGAAGTTTCCGATAGCTGGTGCTATAACACTATAGTAATGTGCATATTGCAGCAACGTAATTTGCAGAAATAAAGCTTCTGCGCAACGTATCCAAAAGACGAGCCCTACAAAAGTGGAAGACAGGCCTTGCACAGGCAGTTGTTTCCAGCTCGCTGATGCACAATGGCGACTTTGAAAGACAAAGTTCTATTAGTGAAACTTTTCTACCAGAATAACGAGAACTCCTGTGCTGCGATAAGAGCATTCCGTCGGCTGAACATCTTACGCCGAGGACCAATGACACCACGCGCTTTACGAGACATGATGAAGAAGTTCGAAAGAACGGTACAGCTGGGAATTTTACCAGGTAGAGGACGACAGGTTGTGGAATCTGCACGCGTAGAAGACGTTGCTTTGGCTGTCGTGGACCCCACTAGCCAATCGCCGCATGGTGTTGTCAGTGTGCCAACTGTTTCTCGTGTTGTTGATATGCCCTATACGACCGTCTGGCGTGTGATGCGTCGAATCCTCGGTTATTTTCCTTAAAAAATCCATAGTCGTCATCAGCTGTCCGACCGGGATCCTGTAGTTTGGGAAACATTTTCGTTGCAGTTCCTTGCCAGAATGGTAATCGATGCTGCTTGGCCGTAGAACATCCTTTGGACGGATGAGGCCCATTTCACCTGAATGGTCAAGTGAATACGCACAACTGCCGCATTTCATTTGGGCAAGTGAAAACCCCCGCGCGCAATCCATCAAGTGCCCTTGAACCCTCCAAAGGTTACTGTATGGTGCGGTTTCACTGCAACATTCGTCATTGGGCCTTATTTTTTTGAAAAGGTGACTCCAACAGGGTTCAAAACCTGTTCTGTCACAGGAAAACGGTATCAGGACATGTTGACAACGTTTGTGATCCCTGAACTGCATCAACGTGGCCGCCTCCAGGACACGATATTTATGCAGCATGGTGCACCTCCCCATATTCTTCGTGGCTTAACAGGTGTTACGGGCAACTTTTACCGATGCACGTGTGATCAGTCGCTGTTTCCCTACAGCTTGGCCTTCCCGCTCGCCTGATCTCACGCCATGCGACTTTTAGTTATGGGGATTCTTAAAGGATCGGGTCTACCAAGAACACCCAGCAACCTTGGCACATCTGAAAGACGCGATTATTCGACATTGTTCGTGGAATTAATGGGGACTTACTGCGTTCCGCTGTGGAACACACTACTTTGCGAATAGAAAGCGTTGTGGAGAACCACGGCACACATATAGAACGTCTGTAGAATGTCTTGTTGATCTGAAGCGCCACCTATCGGGAACTGTACTAATTTTTTTTGTTTAATAAATCTCGAGCGCATGATCTGAAGTGTCTGTTTTTAAAATTTCATCACATTATGACCCATACAACACTCTGCACAGGCCTCTGAGTTGGGGAAGTTTAATTTGGATAACCCTGTACATTAAGGATTTTCAACTCTTTTTTTGCATCGATCCCCTTTAACAAAAGGCTTTTCTTCATCGACCCCATTATCGTTTTCTCTGTAACGTACAATATACAACATAATCATAGTATAAATAATTTAAAGATAACAATTAGACTAAGAATAAACATTATAAAAAATGAGTTATTTGATTACTGCTTTATTATTTTTGCATTATTATTATTATTATTCATTTTACAAATATAAACAGGTTTTCAGAAACAAAATCAGAGACTTTAATCGAAAAGCTAAAAGAAGTACAAAAGACAAATTTATTAATTCTGAATTTTTTTGGCTTTTGTCTCTTAGATTTATTTTGGGATATATTCAATACTTGAATCATCAGAAAATTTTATTTTTATTTATTACGTTTCGTTTACGTACTGGTTTCATTTATAACAGTTTATTTGCAAACTAATATTCAATTTGTTGACTATTTATTAAAGTACTATAAAAAAGCTATTAATTTGCAATATCATTCTTTTCGCCCTTGAATTTATGTTTAATTTGTGATTTAGAATGCATTTAAGTGCTTATTAACCCAAAGGGCCATTAATTTTCTTTTGGCATTTTGTGCCGTTTCACTATGAACGGCGTTTCACCTTTCAAATTGTTGCCACCAAATATTATCGCCCTGTATTATATTTAAAGAAATTAAACAATAAGGAATCTGCATGAATATATAGTGTTTCTCCCATTGTGAACAAACAGCGGTACCTAGAGACATAAAATTTTGAATAAAGTAATCCTCCTGCGAATATGGGCATCTGGAAGTCCAAATTTCAAATTTGGAATTTGTTTCATTATCAATTTCATATTTTGTAAAGCTTTAATGAATTTTTGATTAACAAGGATCTCAAAGCGAGCAATGACAACACCGTATCAAACAAAAAGCATTTTAATCTCCAGCGCACAAGACTGTTTAACGGAAATTCTGTTTGTAAATATTTTTAGTCCAAAGAGACATTAGCTCAAACGCTCTCGAATCGTCTAAGTGTGTGTACATGAGAAAAACGCCTCTCTGGGCGTAATATAAAATAAGAAATATTTCAGATTTATTTATTTATATTTATTACTTTTTTTATTTCGCTTGGTTTTATCAAAGTTTTAGCATTTTGACACGCTCCTGCACGCTTCTTTTATACCTCATTACCATAGTTCCCAAGAGACACATCGGAGGAACGAAAGTAAAGAGAGCGAGCAGAAGACCCGACTTTAGAATGATCGAAGAGATCAGCAGGACTTAAAATTAGGCAAAATAACAACTTGGTGTTTGGCGTAGATTTAATGAGACATTAGCAGCATATAAGGATATAATGAATTGGAACGGAAATGTTAGAAGTAAAGTGATTATCGTGAGTGATCATAATAACCGTAAAGTGATTATTATGTTAAATAATAATTTGCTTTTCTATTGACTCTGTAATTAATTTGATGGCAATACGGCATTTCCTCGCGTATTTTTTCCCTGGCTTTTTAGCGCTAATTTCTGAAAATTGAAAAGTATTCTTATATTTCCCTCCTTCCTATATAGTACATAGTTTTGCCTGCTGGGAGCTAGTTTATTAGTTAATTGTATTTCCTTGATTACTTAAATTTTCGTTTTGTATTTAGTGTGTATTTGTCCCTTTTACAGTATTTCAGCCATTCCCCCCCTTTGTTTTATTATTTGAAACGTATTTTGAGCAGATTCTTCGTTAAGCTACTCGAACGTGGCAGGTGTTCTCACACTTAAGAAATTTTTAAAACGTACTATTTCACTTTACTTCTAATATTTCCATTCCAATTCATTATATCCTTATCTGCTGATAATGTCTCATTAAATCTACGCCAAACACCAAGTTGTTATTTTGCCTAATTTTAAGTCCTGCTGATCTCTTCGATCATTCTAAAGTCGGGTCTTCTGCTCGCCCTCTTTACTTTCGTTCCTCTGATGTGTCTCTTGGGAACTATGGTAAAGACACATTCATGTGAGGTGCTCCTGAGGTTTTACATAGGTTCAATATTCGTCAGATGTAGTGTTGTTAAGATTGTTATGTTTTCTTATTGGAATGTAAGTATCTTTTAAAGAAATTATATTATTATAGTTACACCAGTTGTTTATACATGATTAATTTTCATTTGTTATGTTCCTACTGTAACTGCGTTCTTGGGAAATGAAATTACTCGCAAAATTTTCCTCTCTCGATTTTTGGACGATAAAATTAGTTTAAAAAAGGGGGCACATTAGGCAAGGAAATACATTATACCTCTTATTGTTTAGTGATGAATAACGCATTTAGGCTATTTTTGATTCTTTATTTCTCACAAAAACTTTTGTATTAAACATGTGTCTCTTTAATACACCGATTTACGGATAAAGAAATCACGGAAGTTCTGTTTGATAGAAACAAAGGGATGTTTTTTTGCGAAAATATCTTTACCGCGTTAACGTCGAAAATGCAAGAAACCAAGTATCTGAAATAAAAATAGATAATAAAGAAAAATAAGTAACAACAATAATAAAATCCGTTTCTTCTCAGAAATTTCAGAAATGATGATAATTAGAACGAAGTAAGCTTATAATGCAAGTAAGAGTTTAGGTACCTGATGACGCTGGACCAAGTTAAGTTAAATTAGGTTATGATTATAATTTGGCAAAGTCACACGAGCTTAGAGGAGCGATGCCTTCGTGGAGGACGTTCTGGAGAAAACTGGCTCGTAGTCACATTGCACATGCAGATAACCACGAAAACCAAACGTACAGCCAACACAAACGAGGTTAGGCCAGCAGCAGCTAATGGTCCTAACCATTCGGCAACTGGAGCTCTTAGGAAAAAAAAAGGTGTGTCAAAAGTGAGGTTAGTTACTATTAATATTATAAATTATTAATAGTAAAATGATAAAAATCATTAAGACCGCAACCTGAAGATAACTTACTGATGTTAAAATCTAACAGTATAACTCCGAAATTACATGTTATAAAGCTATGCTTGTTATTAAATACTTACTATTAAACGAAGCGTATTTTGCATAAAAATACCAAAAGCTTGCGAAAGCACTCAGCACTTCAGCTATAAATTAAAAGGGTAAACAAATCTATGGAACTAATTATTCCGGATCCAAAACATAGTTGAAGGTAACTTTTGTCGAAATCATTTCGAAGGGCTATTAAACAACACTTTGTCATTTTAGAAATGTAGAGTTAAAATCTTAGCTTTGAAGTAAAATTCAGGTTTAAAATTATCCGTGAAGCAAATATAGCAAATGAACAAGTAATCGTCAAACAAAAAGAGTGGAATTGAGAGATTATAAATCTTTCCAAAGAAATATTTGGGTAATAAACACACGGCATTTAAGCGTTTCCTTTTTGATAGACTGAGCGACTCCCCTTGGCTTCGTGCAGCAAATTTTGACAGAAATAGTGCTGCTTCTTCGCTCGTGGCTTTCTCCCAGTCTGCCGACTTAAAACGAACTTCAGAGAGAGTTGAGGGTTGGAAGGTTTCACTTTGAATCTCAAGCTGTCAGCTTTCTCAAGTGGGACTACAAACCGACAAGGTGTGTTTTGTTTTCAAAATGAAATGACTGCTTTTCATTTTCCCTTTAATGTGATAAAAAGGTGTGAATGAACTACTCACAACGAATTTCATTTATTTCTCGACGTTCAGTCGCAGGTAAACTGCGTAGTACCATGCGCAAGAGGATTAAATATTGCTGAATGGGCGTTTCCAAGAGAAAAGAGGAAACATATTTCAATTTTCAGGAAATAATTAATAATACTAAATATGAATTTTTTAATTAATTTTATTAAGAAAAATTACTTAGTGAATTATCATACATGAATATTAAAAATGTGTAATATTTAATTTAGTAATAATACTTTTGTTTTCCTTTATTTTCCTTGTCATATTACATATGACGCGGTTTCTTCATATTTTTTGAAAAAGAAATTATCTCTCTTCATATTTCAACCAGTAGATGGCAGCACTAATCTTTTAAAATCATTCCGAAGACTGAATTGTTCCAGTTCAATAGTGTTTGTTATCCAACTCGTTCGTTCTGTTTCTTGAGGATAACTTGGGTCTTAGGCCCGAACAGGTATTCTTTTCATGCACGTTTTATATATAAAAATGTAAATTAAAATAATTATGGTATATTTTTCCTGTATTAGTTACTTCCATTAATTCCATTTTTTGCAGTTTGTTCAGCAATTAAATTTTCATGAATTGAAGAATGTTTAAAAAATTATTAAAATAATACTGACTTCTATATTTTACTCATACTATTTATAAGTCTGTATATGTATAAGGCATGTGTGCAAATTTAAATAAGAAGAAATTTCTTGTTCAATTTTAATTTGAAATTACTAAATAGTAATTCCAAATTAAATTTAGTACTCTGTTTTAATGAAATAAAAATTGTATTTATTTTCTGTATTCGCAACACACAGCATATACAATTTAAATTAAGGGACTCTTTTCCCTAGTCTTAATTATCTGATTTTTCTTTGTGTAATTTTAATCAAATTAGCTTGATTCACAGTAACTACTTATAGAGTTAGTACTTACGCTGTAATAAAATGAAACTTTTTATTGTTTTGTTAATTTGCAATACAGTTGAGATACCCCGTAATTAAAATTAAATGATTCATTGTACAGTATTATGCGATTTTCATACTAAAAAATATCAATTCTGTCTGATATGTATTCGAATTTTTATGTTAATTTTTAAATGTATAAGAATAACACTTCTTAGAAAGGAATTTTTTCTTGTTTTGTTAGTTTGGCGTCAGGGACTGTTGTAGCTTTTTCTACATCTGTTGCAAATTCATATTTTTTTAAAAATTGATCTGATGATTAAATTATTATGAGATAAAATTCTTATCTGATGAACCTTGAAATGGATAGAATAAATCGATGAATAATATTCAGCTTATTATTTTTATGCATAAAAATTATTCTCTTTCCTTTGTTTATTACATTTTATCATTTTATTTAAGAATAAAATAGTTGTCTGTGTATATAACGCAAAAAATTCCGCTTTAAATGTTCTTTAAACTGCTTGCCTAGTTAGCCCAAAAGGACTGTTAATCTCGAAACACGATTTTGTATTATTTTACTTTAATGCGTTGTTTCTCTTTTCATTCGAGTCTGTTGCCATTCGGAAAAACGTAAGATATAATTCTTTAATATTTAATCTGTCTGACATTAACAGACTAATCTATTTAAAAACAACAGATGCAGTTCTTAAGAATATTATATTTTTATTTTTTAATAGGACTTTATCGAATTTTTAGTCGGAGCAAATAAAAGTATAATCATTTCATATAATTAAAAACATTGAACAATTTTATAGAATTATAATGCATATTTTTTCACTATTTAAATATACAGAAGATATATAATGATTCCATATCAGCCATGCATATTCAACTAATATCCTATAAAATGGATCTCTCTTCTATTTGTCCTTATCTACTGATAATCTCTACTTAGAAACCATATTAAACTATAAAAGAGCCCTTTTGGGTGATCTTAAAATAATGAACCTTTTAATTTTTTTTTTGGGGGGGGAGTGTGATACTTCTTTGGCGATATGAAGCAACTCCAATGATGGAACACAGCAACAACTTTTATTTAACACTCAAAAATGGTGACATACAAAACAAGAAGTAAAAAACATATTCTAACATTTAAAAATAAATTACATTCTTCGTGCGAGAGTCGCACGAGGCACTCGAGTCTGGTTTCAAATATTGCCATTCACAAATACCTTAATGTTCATCTATTTAAATTATTTAAACTACAAGATTTTAATATTATTTAAAGCTGTTACAACCTTTTCCCCAACGGAGAGACTTTTGCCGAAGGGAAAAGTTCTGTAAAATTCGAAATTTTATAAGCTCGGCTTGTTAAATTGCTTAAAGAGAAAAGATAACTTCTCTCAGAAGTTTCCAAATTTTCAGGCCGAAAATTTTAAGTTTTAAACAAATATTTTTACACCACATTTAAATAGGAAGAAAATGGACCAGTGTTCAAATTAGTCTTCTTTTTTTTTCTTGACGGCGCCCAGATCTCTTCCATGGTGGACCAGTTCCTCGGCTATAATTCACAGCAAAGCCTTTCCTCAGTTCATCTGTGCCTTTCGGATAATATTCATTTGTCATTTGCTTTCGACAATTGTTTTCTTCGTCTATTAGTAGCGGCTTTGATATTAAATCAAAAGCCGAAAGATGATGATAACGCTGCATTGCAAAATGATTCTCAATATTAATTTCTTTATCATTTTTTAAATTTTCGTGAACATCTTCCTCTTTTAATTCTGGCGATTTAACTTCTTCTTCAAATACATCTCTGGATGCTTTATTTTCTTCCTTCATCGGTTCGAAGATCTGCTCTCCAGCTATTTTCTTTTCCTTTGAGCTCTAGTAGAAATGGCATTAAAATGGTATCACTAAGTTTACGTTCAACTGATAAACTAATAAAATAAGGCAGTTCAGTGTTAACAGGAAGTAATAACCTGATATCACTAATATTACGTTCAGTGATGAACTAATAAAATAAGGCAATTCAATATCAACAGGAAGTAATAACCTGGTATCACTAATATTATGTTCAGTCATGAACTAATAAAATAAGACAATTCAATATCAACAGGAAGTTACGTTCAGTGATGAACTAATAAAATAATGCAATTCAATATCAACAGGAAGTAATAATCTGGTATCACTAATATTGCGTTCAATGATGAACTAATAAAATAAAGCAATTCAATATTAACAGGAGGTAATAATCTGGTATCACTAATATTATGTTCAATGATGAACTAATAAAATAAAAATACGCACGATTTTTCGATCTCGGTCGGTGCCTCCAAAATAATTAAGACTGTAATACTTCTTTGACGAAATGAAGCAACTCCAATGATGGAACACAGCAATAACTTTTATTTAACACTAAAAAAAATGGCGACATACAAAAAAGAAGAGAAAACATATTCTAACATTTAAAAATAAATTACATTCTTCGTGCGAGAGTCGCACGAGGCACTCGAGTCTGGTTTCAAATATTGCCATTCACAAATACCTTAATGTTCATCTATTTAAATTATTTAAACTACAAGATTTTAATATTATTTAAAGCTTTTACAGGAGGAGGTTTGTTTTGAATATAGTTTTTAACTTCATGTTTAGTGATTGCGTATTAAAAAGATAGCGGAGCATACATTTCATAAATATATTTATCTATAATTATAGTATTTACTTTTTTTATTCTTAAAGGTTTCTTGATGTAAATAAGTAAAATTAATCCTTTTTTTGACCGCAATAAATGATAAATATTTTAGACTGAGTATAAAATGAGACTAAAAATATTTTAACTGTTTAACAAACTAATGAATATTCTTCAATATGCTTCGGTAAATTCTATCGTTTTTAATTGAAAATCTGAAAGCTCAATTATCACATCAAATATACATCTAATTACTGCTCATTTCATTATCTAGATCTGAAATAAAAATAAAACTTTTTTCAGTGAACACATATGTATAATTTTTTTAATATTTTTTTATGTATATATGTAAGTATGAAATTGAATTAAAAAAAGGTAGCACTTAAAAACCACCCAAAGAAACCAAACAAATACAAACAAATAAAATAACTTTAAGTGACAAAAAAGAATAAATTTAGTTAACGGTTATTCGGTCTAAAATTCAAACCATGAAACATTTTTATGAACATGTTTAATAAAATAAAAATTACTGAAAAGAATGATAAATGATATTACAAAATAAAAAAGATTGCTTTAAACACGCTCTCATCTGAAGGAAGGCAAATACTCTTAATCTAATTAAAAGTTCTGTTTTTAAAACTGTACAAAACCAGGTACATTTTGGACCCGGAAATTTTTAATTTCCGAGGACGGTAGCAAAAAATAAAAATTAAAATGTGATCTTTTTTCATACAACTAAACTCGCAATATAGCTTTATCCTGAAACAAACTGAGCAAAAATCGTAGAATAATGGCCATTTATCCAAATTCAAAGCTGTAATTCAGCAACATTTAAACACTTTAAATGAAATACAGAGTAACAACAAATAGGCAACGACTAAAAGATATGGTATGTGTTCAAAACCGCAATCAAAGTGGCAAAAAGTGGCAAAAATTGCCGAAATTAAAAGTATATGAAAACAAAAATTCAAAAACAAATAAAGAATGCTTAAAATCCTTTCCCTGAAAATACACGTATAAAGTTCTTCGAACTACACGCATAAAGTACACATATAAAGTTCATAGAAAGTATGTATAAGGCGTATAATGTTGAATATAGGAATAACCATAAACAATTTAATAATATAAAATGTTACTCTTTTTAAAATTTATGAGCACTAATAAACGGTTTAAGGTTTGAATTTAATTTATTCAATTATCTTATCTTATCTCCTCGTTGATAGGTAACCATATCGGTGCATCTTATTTATTTATATAACTTAATTCATCATAAACAATTATGTGTGCTGTATTTAAGATGTAAAAATACTTCCTTTGCTTGTATTCTGG